GTTTCCCCCCATTTGGAGAACTAAGTTTGAATACAGACTGCCGTGGCTGTCTGGGGGTGATATCTGTGGGGGCCTCTCCCCAAAGTACCATGCCTGTGCCCTGGAAGGACTCTCCCCGCTCTCCACCCACAGCAGCCCTGGCCTCAGAAAGGGGGCTTTCCTGAGGCTGACCAGATTGCAGTGCCTGTATGCAGATCTCAGGGACACATGCCAGGCCCCAGGTTAGCCAAGGGAGTTGGTGGACACATGTGTGTCTCCCCTAGCAATGTGCAAGGAACTCGGGGTTGAGGGTGCAGAAGCAAGAATAAATACAGCTGCCTCGGCTTGAGCTGGGTGCCCCGGGACCGGGAGACACAGAAACATTCAGAGCTGAGATGGATCCCATGGAGCTTGGAGTCCCCTCCCTGCCTTGCTACAGTGTGTGCTAAACCCAGAAAGCCAGGCCGTAAGTCTTGTTATTCCTTAAGCGGGGAGGGGCGGGCTTTCATTTAACAACTCTGGGCCCTGAAGATAATCTTTCTGAGGTCACAGGTCACTTTTAGAAGGGTCAGAAATGGGGCCACACAGGGCCTGTACCCACAGGGCCCCCAAATGGGGTGGCCTGAGGGTTTCATAACTACCACAGAGCTCAGCATGGATGCTGGGCTTCAGGGAACGATGGTGATATCAAGGTCCACAAGCCGGTGTGCCCAGTACTCTGAGGCCATACGAGGCACTAAGAGCCATCTTCAAAGCAGTGACCTGGCAACCCTGCCCCCACCCTCACTGGGGCGCCTCAGTGGCTTTAGCCTTGCCCTGTAGAGGAGCTGGTCATAGCTTAGGGAGACGTGTTGATTTTTGTTTCTGACAACATGGGCCCTGGTGCATGTATCTCTTCCAGCCTGCCTGCCACAGATTCTCATGTCTTAGGAAGTCAGACCCAGGGGCCACCGTACTCAGAACATCACAGGTCCCACAGGCTGAGTCCTGACCTCTCTGGGTACTTCTAGGGGAAGGAGGGTGGCAGTTAGGTTCTAGGATAAGGACAGTCCTGCCAGTGCCCAGCTGTAAGGAAGGAAGTCATATCCCAGGCTCTCAGCATACCAAGTCCCCAGCTAGCCCCCACCCCTTGTATTTCAAGGCCATCAGTGTCATTGATTATAGGCAGGACAGGGTGCCGTGGTTCTGGAAACATGGCAGCAGGTGGCCAGCAGTAGGGTAGTCCAGTCTGTGGATGAGCTCTGTGAAGCCTATTCTCTCCTGCCCGGGACAGAGATTCCAATAGGGTCCCCAGCTCCAGCTCCTCCAGAGCAAGAATAGAGTCAAGGCTCCAAGGACTGCCTGAGACAACCAGAGACAGGCAGTCTCTCCCTGTGAGCCAGTTCAGTCCTGCCCCACAAGCACTCCAAGTTCATGGCTCTACCTGGGCCCAGCTCTGCTCTCTGGGTCAACCAGGTCTGTGGTCCAAGCTCACTTGGGGTACACAGGTGTTACAGCCCTGCCCTGGGCAGTGTGAGACACTGCACTTGTGGGGTGGGGATGGGGCTGCCTGTGTGGCATGCATCTCTCTCTTCTTCTCCTCCTCCTCCCTCCCTCCCTCCCCCCTGCATGTGTGTGTGTGTGTGTGTGTGTGTGTGTGTGTGCGTGCGCGCGCGCGCAGGTACATATGTGCACACACATGTGCACGCATGCCTGTGGTATCCCCACAGAGGCTGGCTGGCTGGCTGGCTGGCTGCTCTTCCAGGTACCTGGCCACCTGAGCCAATATTCAGGCCCCCACATCCTTCCCAGCGGTGGCTGAGTGGCCTCTTCCCCTGTGGACTTTGAGTGACAGCTGTGCTGACCCTGCCTGGTTCCCATACCCTGTGGCAGCAGAACAGGAGACCAGTAAGAAGGAGGTCCTCGGGTGATCAGCCTGAAGTCACCTATCCTTTCTCTCCACAGGACATGCTGGGCCCACACTCACTGCTGCTTGCTCTAGCTGGGCTGCTCTTCCTGGGATCCGGTGAGTTCTGTGGAGTTGTCCCTGCACATGACATTCCCACGCAGCAGGGCCACCTCATGTCCCCTTGGGCATAAATTTCCAGGTGGCTGAGGAAGAACCATCCTCTAGGAGTAAGTCTCAGGCATGGACGGTTTGGGTCCTCCAGAGTACTGCCCTGAATCCCACTGGGGTGACTCAGAGCCCTTCCCAGACCACATAAGGCTGTAGACACTAGCCTGCACCCTCCCCAGAGCCTCGTCTGCCTTTGCCCACCCCCACTTACTCTTGAGGGCAGCCAGCATGGGTGCCGGGCCCTCATCCAGCCTGTCTGTCTCCCCAGCCACGTCCCAGGAGTGCACCAAGTACAAAGTGAGCAATTGCCGGGACTGTATCCAGTCGGGGCCTGGCTGCGCGTGGTGCCAGAAGCTGGTAAGAGCTGCGTGGGTCACCTGACAGAGTCTAAGCTGCCTTTTCTATCTTCCTGGGTAGGGATCTCTACTTCTCTGAAGCCAAAGGCACTAGAATGATCTCCTTAGGACATAGCAGAAATGACTCATCTAGAGGATTCATAGGGAATCCTCTAGAAGGAAGATGAATGTACCATGGTAACCCAAGCTGACCCCAGCCAGATATATAGGGCGGGACAGTCCAGCTTCACAATACGAATCAAGAGCAGGAGGAGGTGAAGGCCCACAGTCAGGCATGGCGGACATTTCTCCTCCTTGAATGACAGTCCCTCAGTCCAGCTGGCCCCCTCCTATAGAGAGCTCCTCCCATGGGACTAAACCTTTATCATACCCTTCTCCCGGGGTCCCTAAGCTGCTGACCCCACAGGGAAATGCACACATCACTCTTTCTCCTCAGTCGCCTGATCCTGTCTGGTGGAAGCTACAGAGGCAGCCCCTTCTTCCTTCATAGGTCTTTAAGAATGAGGTGACTCCTGTATCCAAACCACTGGGTGTTTTTATAAAAATGGACTCTTAGTTACTCTTCTATTGTAAAAAAAAAAAAAAAAAAAAAAAACAACAACAACAACAACAAAAACCACCCTGACAAAAGCCATTTCAGAAAGGAAGGCTTTGTTTTAGCTCACAGGTAAAGATTACAGTCTGCCATGGTGGGGAAGTCATGGCGGTGTGGGTGTGGGGCAGCTAGTCATATCACATCCAGTCAGGAAGCAGAGTGGTGAATGTCCATGTTCAACTCCCTTCCTCGTTTCTCTTCGGTCCAGGACCCAAACCCATTATATTCATAATGTGCAAATGTATAATGTGTGCTTAACAATCATTGAGTATTAAAAAACAAATGAGCCTATTTAAAATGAGCAGATCAACATTTCTCAAAGAATAATACACATATAAATGGACAGGCAAATGAAAATAGTGCCACCCACACTGGGCAGGTCTTCCCACATCAAAGAACCTAGTCAACACAGCCCCTCACAGTCTGCCTGGAGCCTTGCCTGTTGGGAGATTCCAGATCCTGTCAGGTGGATAATCAACACTAACCGTCACGTGTGCACGTCCATATTTGATCCTGTTGTCAAACTCGGGAGATTTACTGTCAACCCTATGGGCAGACCGCGGGCAAATCTTGCCAGATTTTCACATTTTCCCTGGCTGTTGTAATCTGAGGACACACAGGGTGTCATTTTGCTTCCCTTATATCCAGAACATTCCCAGCTTTCTCCATCTTCACATCCTTGTTATTTAAGGATGAGTGGAGCCACCAGTATAGAATGTCCCTTGGCGCCTCCAGCCAGGCATGTCCTCTGATTCAACTCCAGCGTACACCGGGGGACACCAGACAGTGATTCATCCTTTGTGCCCTGCATGAGGCACACGTGGTGCCCTCACAAGTGTGGCCTTCGTCCCTGCACTAATGATGTTTGCTGAGGTGGCACCTGCCAGGTTCCTCCTCACCTCCTGTGTCCCCTCACAGTGAGTGACAGGCTCATCTGCGAGGTACTATCAGGTTGCTAGGATTCTGTCCCCACTCAGCTAAGTCGGTGACCTTGCAGTCTGTCCACTGGAGACTCAGGCAAGCTCCGTCACCACTGTAGTGGCTGTAAAAACGGTTCTCTCTTCTCTCTCTCCCCAGCCCCGATCCACTGATGGAGCTGCAGGTCTTTATTCTGTTCGTAGTTTATGACTATTATTTTCCCAGTTTGATGTTCAACTTGTCCGTGTCAGGCCACTGGGCCCCTCTAAGCTTCTCTGGGTGTCATTCATGTGACTTTTTCTCTTTTGTCATTTTTGTCTTGGTCTGAGACCTTTCATACTCTGGACTGAGCTGCTGTGCTAACTCTTCTCTGGCCTCCTGTAGCTGGAGTTTTCTCCAGTCCTGCTCAGATCTGCAGCCACTCAGGCCCAAATAAACACACAGCCGTTTATATTATTTAAACTGGCTCAGACTTCTTGCTATCTAGATATCTTAAATTAACCCATTTCTATAAATCTATACCTTGCCACGTGGCTTGGTGTCTTACGTTCTTGCTACTCATGGCAGAGGCAGCTGGCAGCGTCTCCTGACTCAGCCTTCCACCTCCCAGAATTCCCCTCTCTCCTTATCCTGCCTACACTACACTTCCTGCCTGGCTACTGGCCAATCAACGTTTTATTTATCCATCAATCAGATCAACACATTCACAGCATCCCCAGCAGGCCTCCCCTCCCCTGGCCCAAGACTCCTGGGCCTTCATGAGAAGTGGCTCCCAGCATTCCCTGCAACTTCCTGCACCTCCTCCATCCCACAAGGTTTTTGACTTCTGTCTCCAGCAATCTGTCATAGGCAAAGCTCCAGAACAGAGAGGCTTGGTGTTATAGCCACTATCCTGTGACTGAGGGCTGTGGTACCATCCCTGGACAAGCCATTCTCGTTGGGACTGGCTTTCTTTTCTCCATGTTGAACCATTTTACTCATCTGAAATGAATGGTCAGGCTGCTTGTCCTACATGATTAAACATTGGCTTCTCTTCTCTATAGTCCTGCTGATGGTCTGTGGTGTGGTTTTTTGTTTGTTTGTTTGTTTGTTTTGTTTGTTTGTTTTTTTGAGACAGGGTTTCTCTGTTTAGCTTTGCGCCTTTTCCTGGAACTCACTTGGTAGTCCAGGCTGGCCTCGAACTCACAGAGATCTGCCTGGCTCTGCCTCCCGAGTGCTGGGATTAAAGGCGTGTGCCGCCACCGCCCGGCCGGTCTGTGTTTTTTGAGGACTTAAGATGCGGCTCTGAAAACAAGACAGAGCAGAGGCCCTCGGGAGGTGGTGTCTACTGCATTTCTGAGCTGTTCTTCTGACTTTACTGTCTGTGGGTAAACAGACAGTCCCTGCGCTTTTTGGTACTTTGCAGCTGAGCCAGACCTACTTTGGACGCAACAGGCTCCAGTTCGGGACCAAGAACAACCAAATACTTCCATGTCAAATCCAGGGGGCTTCTGAAGGGACACATTGGTCAGGATGAAGGGGCCCCAGGCTTTCCACTCCCCTCACCAACTCATTTCCCTACGAACTGGGAGAAACTTGACCCTGAGTTCTGCGCTGAGTCTTAGCAAGGGCTGTGGTTCAAAGAGACCACCTGCATTCCCTTGGGAGTCAGCAGCTCCCTGGGCAAAGGTCCTGGGGAAGTAGGGCTGGAGGGGTTCTGGCCAGTATTTGAGCTTGAGGCTGCTGATCAGCATTTGGGCTGGGGGTAGAGAACCCCACATCTTTGCTGATGGAATTAATGCTCAAAAGATAGAGGAAAGTCAATAGTCTATGCTCCTAGTGACCCGGGGCTCTCAGGGAGACTTGGAGCTGTCAGGGAGACCTAGGCTGTCTGGGAGTCTGGTTTTCCCTAGATGACTGCCCCATCCCACAGGGGTCTCTAGCTGAAGCTTCAAGGGCAGGTAAGGAGGAAACAGGGCTGGATCCCACTGTCTCAGCGCCGTGCCTTTCTGCCCGACCCCTCCGCTAGAACTTCACCGAGCGAGGGGAGCCTGACTCCTTGCGCTGCGACACGCGGGCACAACTGCTGCTGAAGGGCTGCCCGGCCGATGACATAATGGAACCCAGTAGCCTTGCTGAACCTCAGTATGACCAGCCAGGGGACCGGAAGCAGTTATCTCCACAGAAAGTGACGCTTTACTTGCGACCAGGTAGGTCTGGACTCAGCTGGAATGGGCCGGGTACGCAATGCGCCTAGAAACTCACCCTGGGCTGCCGATCAGGGCTGACAGAGGGCGTGTGTCTCTGTGTTGGATAGTGAACTGGTGGGCCGGGTGATGAACTTCTCATCACCCAAGTCTGAGCTCCGGGGACTAGTGAAAGGGCTGGGTGGGTGAAAGTGCTTGCCACCGAGCCTGGTGACCCGAGTTCAATTCCCTAGGACCCAAAGGGTGAACAGAGAAAACCAGCGGCTACAAAGTAGTTATCTGACCTCCACGTGCATGATATGGTGTGTACAAGCCACCCTCCCATAAACAAACACGTAACTGTGTGGGTGGCAGTGGCGCACGCCCTTAGTCCCAGCACTCGGGAGGCAGAGCCAGGTAGGTGGATTTCTGTGAATTCGAGGCCAGCCTGGTCTACAACAGGAGATCCAGGACAGGCACCAAAACTACATGGAGAAACCCTGTCTCAGAAAACAAAAGCAAAACAAAACAAAAACAAACAAAAACCAAACAGATAACTGTAACTTTTTCAAAAGTTACTTCCAAGTCTGAGCTCTGCCCTGGGTGGATTCCGCCAGCCCCACTGTCTGCACTGGCTGTCTGGGACTCTCTTAGCAGTGCGTTCTGTGCCTTGTTGAAAAGGGGAAGCAAACTGTTTAGAAATCACCGTTCATTTCCACTCTCAGAAGACTCAGGCACTCGTGGCAGCGTGAGCACCCTGGCAAGCCCCGTAGCCCAGTCCTGCGTAACTCTTTAAACCAGGCTTGTCCCAGGCATGCTCCACTGGGTCGGATGCAGTGAGGTGAGCGTGTGCGGGACAACAGACACGCTGTGGGCAGGCTCCGTGTAGCTGTAGCCACAGTTAGAAGGGGGACCAGCCGCTAACCCTGCAAGCAGCTGAGTGGGCAGAGCGGGACCCTGGAGGATCATACTGGTTTCCTTTCTGTGGCTGTGATTAAATACCCTGACTCAAAGCAGCTTAGTGGGAAAAAGGGTTGTTTTCAGCTCACAATTCCAGGTTACGGTTTATCATTTCAGGGAAGTCTAGGCGGCGGGAACTTGAAGCAACTGCTCACATCGCATCCACAGCCAAAAAGCGGAGAGAAGTGACTGAATGCTTAGTGCTTGGCTCACTTCCTCTACTTTTAACCAGACCAGGGCCCCGATGCGGGGAATTTTGCCGCCCACTCTCAGGCTGGGTCTTCTCACATCAATGTAGTCAGTCCAACACAGTTCCCCACAGATATGCCCGTGGGCCAATCTCATCGACACAGTCCCTCAGTGGGACTCTTCCCAGGTGGTTTTCCTTTGTGCCCAGACTCAGCAGCGCCAGGGTCTAGTTGGTGTGTGAGGGGCAGGTTGTCAGGACAGAGAAGGAAGGACCGCATGAACGGAGGGAGGCAGAGGGGTGGCATCTGAGAGCCTGTCCTGGGGACAGCAGAGGACAGAGCTTGTCCCTTCATGTCCTGTGAGCTGACACAAGCCCTTCTGCTTTGGGACCTCTGCCCCTGACCTGGTCCTGTTGACCCCTGGAGGGCAGTTCTGGCATGCTGGCTTACCTGAGCCAGGTAGCCCAAGTTGGCACAGTTACGGTCCCTCCTAGTGGGAAGACCGGGGTGGTTCTCTGGGCCCTCTGTGAAAATGTTAATCCCTTGGGCTGGTTGGGTTCCACCCTTCTGGCCTGACTACTTACTTCTAGCCACCACAGTCTGGATGGTTGGGCTTCCAACTCACGAATTTGCATGGCACACACACTCCCCACCATGCGGCATTCTTTTTTTTTTTTTTTTTTTTTTTTTTTTTGAGACAGGGTTTCTCTGTGTAGCTTTGTGCCTTTCCTGGAACTCACTTGGTAGCCCAGGCTGGCCTCGAACTCACAGAAATTCACCTGGCTCTGCCTCCCGAGTGCTGGGATTAAAGGCGTGCGCCACCACCGCCCGGCGCAGGATTCTTATACTTGGAGTGAGCCACTTACCTGAATCCAAATCTGCCTGTCCTGTGTCCTGCCAGGTCATAGGAAACAGGGGAGGCACTAGGAATTTGGGGGCTGGGTGAGGGCTGACAGACTGCAGGCAGGCTCAAAGTGTCCCCTGCTCTCCTCTGACAGGGCAGGCCGCTGCATTCAACGTGACTTTCCGGCGGGCCAAGGGCTATCCCATTGATCTGTACTACCTCATGGACCTGTCCTACTCCATGCTGGACGATCTCAACAATGTCAAGAAGCTGGGCGCTGACCTGCTGCGGGCCCTCAATGAGATCACTGAGTCCGGCCGCATCGGTGAGGCCCGCAGTGCATTCGTGCATGTCAACCTTGGGAACCCCCTGTCACCACACACCTCCATCCACGCACCCCCTCAGAAGCAGAGGCTGGAGGAGCCACATGTGCAGTGTTTATGGGGCCAGAGTCAGCCCTGCATCGCTACCATGGGCCACACCTGGCCACGGGCTGCTAAGACCTGTGGACTCCTCCAACCTTTCTCTCCCTCTTCTTTATATTTTGTTTAAAAGACAACAATCCTGCAGTGCTAATTACTAAAAAGTGTAACCAAATACCATTAATACAGTTGTGGGAGCAAACCGCAGGGCCAGGGTCACAGGGTGAAGGTTGCAGCAGTGACCAGCACCAACATGTTCGCTAAGCACATGGGACAAGGGAACAAGGCACCCTACTCACGCCTGAACAGCACTTTGCCTCATTGTCTCTGTGGGAGGATGCCCACATGCACACTTGAACACAGGATGCAAGCTCATCTAGTTTTGTGTACTCATACACTCATGCTCACACATGTCCAGGATCTCATACACAAACACACTTGCATGTTTGTGTCCATGCCTCGTCACACATGTGTACCTATATGCCTGAATACACAAGACCACATATATATATATATATATATATATACATACATACATACATACACATACATATACATACAAACTCACATGCAAACACTTATGATCACACATGTACATGACCGAATACCTATACATTCTCTGTCACACACACTCATGATCTCATATATACTCTCACCTACACATGACTACACACATGCTTGTATCACATGCTCTCACAACCATCATCTTGCTTTCTTCCTTATTTGGGAAAATGAGGCCTGGCCCCTTACCCCTCTGGGCGGTGCATTGTCCTTCATGGAGTCCTGCTTTCTGCCTCTGTCCCCTGTCCCCCTGCCTCATGCCGTGTACCCCTCAGGCTTTGGATCCTTCGTGGACAAGACCGTGCTGCCTTTTGTCAACACACATCCTGAGAAGCTGAAGAACCCATGTCCCAACAAGGAGAAGGCCTGCCAGCCCCCGTTCGCCTTCCGGCACGTGCTCAAGCTAACCGACAACTCCAACCAGTTTCAGACAGAGGTCGGCAAACAACTGATTTCCGGAAACCTGGATGCCCCTGAGGGTGGGCTGGATGCCATAATGCAAGTTGCTGCATGCCCGGTGAGGCCACTGTCCCTCTCCAGCTCTCCCAATTTCCTCAAACTCAGGAGCTCCACCGTGCTGTGGGGCCACTTGCTCTGGTTGGTGGGCCTGTTCAGGGACTCACCCCATCTGGTGCCATGCTATCACCCTGGGTCTTGGAAGAGCAGCCTCCACGGCCCAGGCCCCTCCCAGCCTCCCAGATCAGAGAGCGAAGGAAGAGCAGTAACACCACTGAAAAACTCATCTCAGCATTAGGTGAAAACCCTCATAGCTCTCCTGTGAGCCAGGCTGCCCGGCAGCAGGTCCTCAGTGTGAGGACTGTCCTTAGCTCTTATGTCTCCTCATCCACATCCCTGCCTGTCAGTTCCAGATTGCGTTTATAAGGTCATCACTGCAGCAAGCCAATCCCACCTGAGTCTGGCTCTCAGTTCCTCAGCTTTGTTGGGCTCACAGCGTGGGCACTCACATTCTACACGTGTGTTGGACCATGGTACAAAACCTGGATGCCGCAAGTGTGTGCTCCTTCAATTGTCCCGGGCACTTACCTCCCCTATGGACGTCCCCTGGTCCCCTCTTTAGTGGTTGGGAGGTGTCTGCATTTTAGTGGACACTGCTGCATACTTTTCCTCCTTCACAATTGCCATTGGAATCTAGTTCCAGGTCTGAAGAAGATTGCAGATTTATCTCTTTAGATTCAGATGTGTTTCAGTTCTCACCTCCCACTCCTGCAGGGCATGCTGGGAGCTGCTGGCTTAGGCACTTCCTGGGCACTGGGTGGGCTCTCTGTCTCTCTGTCTCTCTCTCAGGCTCAGCAGGGAAACCAAGGCAGGTAACCTCTGGCTGCGTTCTTCCCAGGAGGAAATTGGCTGGCGCAATGTCACGAGGCTGCTGGTGTTTGCCACAGATGATGGCTTCCACTTTGCTGGTGATGGAAAGCTTGGTGCCATCCTGACGCCCAATGATGGCCACTGCCACCTCGAAGATAACTTGTACAAGAGGAGCAATGAGTTTGTGAGTACTCTCTGCCTGCCTCGGCACATCCCCATACCAAGACTGGTTAAAGGCCACTCAGGAATGGCAAGAGGACAGGATGAGAGCAGGGTCACATGCCTAGGTCACCCCAACAGAACCCAGACTCCTCTTAACACAATAGCAAATTGCAGAGGAGTTCCCGGAGTCCCTGGTAATAACATAAAATTCCTGACACCCACCTCTGCCTGCAAGGCAGTCCTGGCCCTGGTCCCCATGTCAGAGGCCCTGACATAGCCCTACCCACCCACCTAATCCATCTCACTGCCTCTATGCATGCCTGCTCTGCCTGTAATGATCCTGTCAGAGCTCCAGGTCCCATCTTTGGACACTCATTACCTTTCCAAAGGAACCACGAAGGGTTTTTGATCCCCATACTGGGGGGACCACCTGAAAACCACTGATTTGGAGTTGTTGGCCGACAGAATCTGAGGGTCCTGACCCCGAGCAGGAGCAGGGGTATCTCATGTCCATTCGTCACCTCCCCCCCAAATGTGGACTGCCACGCCCATTTGCTATAACATCATGGTGGGGAGAAGTGGAGTCTAAAATCTAGCCCTAGTGGAGCCGCAGACACTTTCTTGGGGCCTATACACCAGCTCCTGGGGCTGCTGCTTGCACTCTGGCTGGCTTAGCACCCAGAGTGGTAACTCACAGTAGCTTTCTTTACCTGGCATTGGCCAAGAGAACCATCACGATGGTCAGTGTTCTCTTCACGTATCTCACATATTTCCTGTCAATCTCGTCACATGCGTGTAAACCTATGCCAAGTGAGGCCCGCCCTGAGCAAGTGTCCATGCCTGGTCAGCATGGACGCTTGCTTCCCCAAGGTGTCCCGGAAGGCTTGTCTAAGAAGATGTCCCCTTTCTCCAGGACTACCCATCGGTGGGCCAGCTGGCCCACAAGCTCGCCGAGAGCAACATCCAGCCTATCTTTGCGGTGACGAAGAAGATGGTGAAAACCTATGAGGTAAGCAGAGCCTTGTGCAACAAGGCCCCCTCAGATGTGACAAGCCAGGCCCTGCCCAATATTGCCTCAGTTCTGCTTTTCAGGCTGGCCTGTGGGTGGCCAGCTTGGCCACTGGCCACAGTTTTCTGGGTGTGAGCATCCTGGTGGAGGAAGTTGAGGCTGCCACTGGGCTACCCAGTGTCCACGTCTTGAAATTCACAGTGCTGCTTGCTCAAAATTTTGTTTCCTCAGAAACAGAGCAGTCTGGAACTGCTTCTCTCTCTTCTCCCCTCTCCCTTCTTTAACTCAAGAAGAAGCCCCTTTGAGTCATGAGCATTCCGACGGAGCCAAATTCACATGTTGCTACCACCCGAGGAGACCTCCGTTCTGCCCATGGGGGACACCTCCTTCCTTCACGTGTTGGTTAGCGACAAGCCTCCCCAAAACACCTCAACAAGCAGAAGCCCAAACCAAAGCAGACAGGATGTTGGGTTTGGCTTTGGCTTTGAAACAGTTGTCCATCCTCCTGGGGAGGAAGCAGCCACCTTGCTCCTTGTCGAGTCAGGCCTGATGACTCCAAGGCTTTGCATCCAGAGAGCCCTCTCTGGTGGCCTCTAGGGGAAGGCCAAGTCCCACTGTTGTCATCAGGAGACCCTTGGACCCTCAGTTCATACAGCAGCAATGCCACTTCCGTCCATCGGAAGCGGAAGTAATTGGATCCAGGGGTGTCAGAGCAGGAAGCGGCTGCTGAGCTAGACAGTATTTCTGATGGTCGGGGTGTTTCTCTGTCGCCCCTCGAGATGCTACTTGAGGCTCATCCTGTGTTTCTGCTGTGGTTGTTATGTCCGTGTGTGTGTGTGTCCTGCTTTGAAAAGGCAGCTGAGCAGTGGTGGCGCACGCCTTTAATCCCAGTGCTCGGGAGGCAGAGGCAAGCGGATCTCTGCGAGTTCGAGGCCAGACTGGTCTAGAAACCCTGTCTCAAAAAAACCAAAAAAAAAAAAAAAAAGAAAAAAGAAAAAGAAAAAGAAAAAAAGAAAAAAGAAAAGAAAAGGCAGCTGAGGAGGTGAGGTAAAAATCCCTCAAGGATGTGTTCACACAGGCAAGATTCTCAGGTGTTGTCAGGCTCCCAAACCTTCTCCCTGGCTTAGTGACTTGCTGGACAGGCCTACAGAATGAAGCAAAACCACTAGACTCCTAGTCAATTTGCCACAGTGTCGAGGTAAAGTCAGTAGAGATAAGAAGAGGAAAGGGCAAAGTCTAGGAGAGAGATGGGGCTCAAGCTTCGGGGCCCCTCCCCTCCCAGTGCTAATCTCTCCGCAGACCAGGACCTCCAGCCCCTCCTGAGAATGAGTGGATCCTGCCTGGCCTGAGGATCTCCCCTCCCCCCTCCTGCCTCTCCCCTCCCCACTCCTGCCTGCCAGGAGTTACTTCCCAGGGCCACCTTCCTTTGGAATGTGCAGGTTGTAGGCAGCCCAGCCTGTGGACTGACCTCTACTGGGCAGTGAGGTATCAGGGATCGACTAAAAGCAAGAGTACCACTCCTCTTCCCCTAGAAGAATCTGTGCCCTCAGGAGCTGGTCAGAACAGGGCCCGGCCAGAATGAGGTCAGGTGACCTGAGACATGGAAGCTGATGGCCGTAATCAGTTTGTAAAGTCTGATGACTTACTCTTCAGGGTCAGAGAACCTTAGATCTCAGCCACCCTAGACATGTCTAAAGAAGGGGCCCAGCTTCCTCCTCGGTGAGAGGCAGCAGGGCCCCCCTGGGAGGGCCACTTCGGGGGACGCTGAGCTCAGCTACCCAATGACTTCAGAGAGTACCTGCCACCTCATCTGAGAGTGACCACAACTCCTCAGCAGTCCCTGCCACCACTCTGTCCTCAGAGACACCAGCACGTATAGACAGACCCAGGCTGACCTCCCATGTATCACAGCTCTGTGCAGCCATGCGACTTCAAACTGTCAGGGAACAGGTTTGGGCTGAGCAAGAGTGTGCAGACTTCGGGAAAAGCACACAGCGCCTGGGGAGGTGACGTTGTGGAATGTGTGCTGCTGAATGAGGACTGGGAATCGGGTCTCATTGAAGGTCTTAGACAAGTCACCATTGCTGGGCTATCGGCCACACGAACAGTCCTACTGCCAGGTTCCCAGGCTCCAAAAAGTGCTCAGCAGCTAAAAGGGACATTAGGGAGAAGGAGGGACAGGCTGGGGATCCTCTGGGTGGGTGATGTGAGCGTCCATGGTTTATCTCAACACAGGAATGACAGCCAGAGTGAACACTGCAAACAGGAGGCTATTTTATGGTCAGAACATTCACACCTTCCCACCCCCATGACCTTGTCTGTTATTGGGCTATGGACTGTCCTCTCCTCACAGAGCTGTAGCAGGTCCCAACTCTTACTATGAGTGACATGAGTTGCATTGCAGAAGACAGCAGGGTGATGAGGGGAGAAATCTGCCGACAGGAGACTTGAGTCCCGAGCCCAGCACGGCTATGCTCTGATGGCTGAATTAGGCGGGGCTTTCTGGAGGAACTGAACTGAATGAATACGTATTGTACGTGGTGATCCCTTAGAATGCCTTGCAACCCATCAAAGCTGCATAGTGCCACAAGAGCTGGCTGCATTCTCAAAAGGTTGAGAGCGTGGTGGTTGCCCAGTCAACAGAACTGGATGCCTCAGCTGCCCCAGCCTGGTACTGAAGGACTGAAGGATTCCTGGAAAGTTGCTGCTCTTTGGTCCACAATGGAAGAAGGAGCTGGGCTGTGATGTCGGTGAAGGACGACAACGATGTAACAGAGCAGATGCACTCGCTAGCCAGAAGCAAAGGCAAGCAGGCAACGCAGCTGCAGGCCGAGGGTGCTGCCCACTCTGCATGCGGGCCCTCCTTCAATTAATCCTGCCTGGAAACATTCTCGCAGGCTTGTCTAGAGGCGTGTCTTAGTTGGCTCCAGGTTTAATCCAGTTGGCAATGGGGAGTAACCACAGCAGGGCTCACAGGCCCTCCCGATCCCCTGTTCCTTGGGAGATGGTCAAGAACACAGGGAATATGTGAGGACATACACACCAGACCCTCCTCCTTTCAGATCAAGTAGAGAGTGGGCTCCACAGCCTGGACATACAAGAGCACAGCTCTCCTGGCAGAGGCTGGTCCCTGTGCCAGGGCAAATGAAGTGGGTGGCAGAGCCCAGGGGCGGCTGGTGACTGGGCTATGAGAGACTCAAGGAAGGGTGCTGAGCCTGAGTGGCTTCGTCATCAGTTATGTGGGGTGGGGTGGGGTGGGGTGTAGGAGGCGAATGACCAGTGTCTGTTCATGAAATCTGACATGGTCCTGAGTAACACTAGGGAAGAGGTGAGGAAAATGCAGGATGTCTGTCATGCGAAGGCTCTGTCTGACCCACCTCCTCTGCCTGCCGTCACAGAGTTATATAACAGTCGCTATTAAATTAGAACTCTGAAACCCATTGAAATGGTCAAGGCTTACCGCTTCCTGTGATTTTACCACATTTCACTGTTATCTGTGTATCATGCTGATGTGGTAGGAATACCGTGCCATGGTGAGCCAGGCATGTGTTCCCAACTCGGAGATGCTATCAGATTGAAATGTTCGCTGGGGACATTCACACCCAGGAGTGTAACCTCCACTCAGGGCTTTAGAGCTGGTCTCCCTCCCTCCCTCCCTCCCTCCCTCCCTCCT